AAAACCTTAATTTAAATTTTAATATATATCAAGAAATTCTTTAAATCTAAATGACTAAGTGAAAGCTTCGCTGCAGGAGTAGTTTCAAATGTGTCATCTATATAAAATGTAATATAAATAAATTTTTTAATTGACGCCAAAAGACGGTGTGCACAAATTTTCAATAACTTTAAATAACTTTGATTGTAGCTGATGGATGATCAAGGGATCTCGTTTCATTTTCACAATAAATTCCTATATTATCGTATTCTAATGAGTATTTTTTTTAGTAATTTCAATAAGTCCGAATCCTATAAATTTTGTAATAGTTTTATAACTTCGGTCTAATAAATTCGTAGATCTAGGCCAGATACAGTATATAATTGTTAAATTAGTATCAATTTTGACTAAAAAATAATTTATATGTTGTTATTTAAATATTATATTAAAAAAAAATATATATTCAAGGAAATGATTTTCTAAACGCGTAATAATTTAATTTTTTTTTTTTTTTATTACTTACTATTATATAAGAAAAAGATTTATTTTACTAATCAGCTGTGGTACTCTAAAAATTGGAACTTTCTCCAATTTTTTTTTTTTATTTTTATTTTATTATTTTAATAATTCATAATCTTTCCCGTAAACGGTGAAACCTGTTTTTTTCCTGGATAGACAAATTCATCTATGGCCTATTCAACTATGTTTAGTCGTTATGCAAACCCTTTCCTAAAATTTACGAATAATGACACTAGCATGAGTTCGAAATTCTGTAATTGAGACGGATTAAAACCAATTTGCCTCGCGTTTCTTATTATACGCTTTCTTTCTTCAATACACATTTTTTTCTTCTTAACATTGCAAAATGGTCTTTTGTCAAAGAAGTAAAGGTAGTAAATATAGATTGGATTCATATCTCCACCTAATATGTAAATAAATAAGGTACACCGGCAAATCTCCCGGTAACGGAAATCCACCAGTTACTCAACCTACGACAAAGACCGGGGGAATGACAATTGTTGACTTATATAGTAGAGAATTATGACCAATATCTACATGATAAAAAATCAGAATCTTGTAACACCATTTCTTTAATCAAAACCTTCTGAAGCAAAAGCGTCAAGTATAAATTACGTAAACTATTAGATAAGTTATACGATAACGTAAGTCAATTAAACCTTTTTCGATTATTTTAGTAATGAAGAAAAGAAGTAAAGGTTGAAAATAATAATAAAAGGGTAATGAAAAAGTTATAATTTCCGTATTTAACAGTGTCACGCTCGGAAATTCGAATCAATCATTGTTATTGTATAAATGAATTTAAATGGAATGTTTTATTTAAATTTTTCTTTATTGATTTATTTTTTATTTACAAATAACAATATTACATACTAAGTGATAAATAAATTCCAATTTGCTTTTCAGGTTTCTGAATTTATTTCATTAACAATAATCATCGTCGCTACCATCATCATCACTTGGCATGCTTGCGTTTTCACCAATAACGTCATCTATTTGTACACATGTAGTCACGATGTGAAACATAATGCGTGACAAATAGCATCATATTAGAAAATCCCACCCTAACACCAGTTATATTCTCACAATAATTTGTCATATGACCAGCGGTTCATGCATCCATTGGTCCATCTCTTGATAGTTACAGGTGCTTTAGATTTTCCACTTTTGAAAAAATATCGTTGTTTGCGATTTAGCTACGAATTCCAAGTAATTTTTCACATTTGCAAAATTATGACAAGTTTAAAACCCGACGACGAACCATTTCGTGAAACTGCGCCACATATTTTTAAGCCACATTTCCTTTTAAACCTGTACAGGTTAGTATTTAACTAGGATAAGGCGTAAATTGGAAGGATATTATCATCATAGATCACCTTACCTCACAAAACGTTCCCATAAACTTTGTACAAGTATTTTAAGCCTTGATCATTTCGGGCTTGAAATTAAGACGAAGCCACCGCCTCGATTCAATTTACAATTTTTATTGTGTCCAATACAATTTATATAAAAGCTTTTTTTTTTCTTTCTTTGATTGAAGAGATTTAAAAATTCTCTTGTACTGCGGTTCATTTCTTAATTAAAAAAAAAATAAATTTGATGAAACGATCATCGTTACACATCATTTAATTTTATAAAAAAACAAAGTAAACCAAAGGGACGACGATCAAATTGCGGAACCTTCTTTTCCCTTTCTTAAAAAAAAAAAAACTTTCAAATTTAAAAAAAGAAAGGGAGGGTCAAATCACATGGATTGTTCAAAATTATTCTCTGGGGAGATTCCAGAATTAACGAATAACATATTACGGAATTTACGGCATGACAATTCATCACTTTATTCATGCGCCCTAGTAAATCGATTTTGGAGTCGTTTAACCATTCCAATACTTTGGGAGAATCCTTTCTCTGCAAAGAATACCAAAAAAACAAATCTTCATAATCTTGATATATACCTATCATGTTTAAATGATGATGATAAGGAGTCTTTAAGGAAATTGGGAGTTGGAAGAATTGATAAATTATCATTGGTTCCACTGTTCAATTATCCAAGTTTTATTAAAGTTTTAGATACTTACAAATTAGAAAATTCCATAAAAACTTGGATAAATCTTAATTTAATGGAAGAAGAGAGGTCCTCACCGGAGAGTAAGACCGATTTGTTAACAACACCACTACGTATAATCCCTTATAATGAAAATAATGATGATATTATGTCCACGACCTCAACAATTCTAACCGCTCAATACTCTCAACTTGCTCGATATCATTGTCTGTCCATCCTTCCTAATTGCCTGACCTCCCTTAGACGACGAGCTATCTTTATTCAAATCTTTTTAAGTAAATCGACGAAATTTATTTATATTACCTTGTTGAAATTATTAATTCAAAATAATGTTACCTTAAATACGTTTGTTATGAATTTAAATTATTCATCCGAACAGCGACATTGGAATGAAGTTTATGAGTTGATGTTAGATAATTCAAACTTTTTCTCCAAGAGCAAACATTTAACGATTAACTTTAGCTGCACGCAAAGTTTTTATCTCATTCAACAAAACGGCTTATCAAAACTTCAACCTTTCTTCTCCTCATTACCATTTCATTGCACTTCCATCAAAACTCTAAACCTGCAACATATTTCTAATGACGTTTCAAAAGATATTACATCATTGGTTCGTTCTCAATCTCAACTTTCCACGATATCCTTTAAGAGTGTTAATATTGATCTACTTCATTCTTTTAAATTCCTAAAAGATTGTTCCTCCTTAACTTCGGTCATATTTAATGAGTGTAATTTTCGTAATGGTTGTAAGTTTGAAGGGTTCGAATTTCTCACGAATCTCGAATCACTTCAATTTATAAATTGCAAATCTTTGACTCAGAATACAATTCAACCGTTAGTCAACATCTCCACCCTCAAGATTAGGATTCTGACCATCATGTTTACTAATAAGATCTACATGATGTTAGAATCGGATAATCCAATGGCCAACGTTTTACTTGAAAGGTTCGGTATGGGCATCGAATGTTTGACGTTATCTCTTAATGGGAACAGATCGGAAGAATTACTCGTGTCAGCATTAAATCATTGTGAAAGGATTAGGTTTTTACACTTGATTAGTATATCATACAAACATGTCCCTCATATCTTTAAAATAATCAAGCGTCACGACAATTCCCTCAAATATTTAACATTAGAAATAAGGGAACATTATAGAATATTGGATACGAGTACGAATGATCAAAATCAAACCTTGGACACCTCTTCAAACTTGTTAAGAAACTTGGGTCAACATTTACCAGTTAAATTAAGATATCTGAATCTTTACCTTCCCGTTAACGATTCCAATGACCTAAAGACATTTTTTTATGAGTGTAAGGCGGTGGAACTCAAAACGTTTTTGATCAGGACCAGGAGCAACAGGAATTTTGATTTGATGTTTGATGTCATAACGGATTTTGTCAAGGGAAGCAAAAGTTTGGAATATTTGGCATATGGTAGTAGATATAATGTTTATAACGCAACTTATAATTATTATAAAATTTTAGGGAAAAAGATCAAGGAGGCTGGATCAAGCGTAAAACTTGCAAGATATGATGATCTTGTAGTCAAAGCATCTGATATTTAATTGAATTTATCGTCGGTATTTGTAAATATATTAGATATCCGGGATTTTTTCATCGAGGGAGAAATGATTGCAGTTAAAAATGGAACCTTACATGTTAGATTGTTTCTTGTGAAAATCAAGAATTTGAACGGTTAATACGTAATTTCTTTTTTTCTGGTCGTGTCTCTGTATCAATAAAACGTGATGGTTATATAAAATAATAAATAGATGGCTAATCCATTTAACTTTGAAAATAATAATAAATTGATTTTAACAAAATTTAGTAATTCAACACGTAAAAATTTGCTTGATAATTGGACTAAATTTTCATGCTTCATTTTTTAACAAATTAAGAATTTCCATAATAATATCTTTATAATTTAAAGTACGTCAACGTGTCAAAGTCTAATGTAACAACCATTCCTATCTATAATAAATAATTTCTGTAATCTGTCATTCTGAATATTGTTCAAGAGAGATGTTTTTGGATTTAGAGATCCAAATATTGGTACAATCTTTGTGTAAATTTCCACATTGTTATGATAATCATAGTGATTCATTAATAGAATCATCAAGATTATTATTTAAAATGCTGCTTCTTTTATAATAACGTTATCATAAATATCTATTTTAATAAGTGCAACTTTACCGGTTAATTTTATCTTTAAAGGTTTGGTTCAACTCAAAAACAAAGAGATTTAGCTTTGTATGATAACTGAGATAAATTCTTTGCAAAATAGCACTAATTGAATTTAAAGAGTTAAAATATTTCGAGGATAAAAATATATATATTGCAGGAAAAAAAGTTCTGAAATGTACCATTTTCATCTCGACAATTTTGGTACGATTGGGTATATTTAAACATCTCCATAATGTTTCAAAATATGCAACTTTGAAACATTTTGATTTCCCTTTTGTACAACTTTTGAGCCAAATAAAAAAAATACTACAATATCTGGACATTTGACAGTATTTCGTGCCGAATACTCTACTATACGAACCAATCACAAATTAATTACAAAATTTGAATTTCTTATAATAAATAGTATCTTGATTAATTTAATTTATCCATTTTTAGAAATATTAAATTTCCAAAAAA